TTGCCCTTATTTGACCACACCATTGACAAGGGCACCAGTGACTCAGTGCTGGCCAATGAGTTCTGAATGTTTTTTTGTCTCCAGGATTTTCTTCCAAGCTACTGACATCTAATCTTAACATCTTGAAACTGGCACTTTATTTTACAGAAAAAAAATCAATGAAATGTGTTTTACCAATAACCAAGATTTATGATACTTTCTCAAGTGATCATTAGGCTTCTTTCTCACCTTTCTTCCTGACTGAGCTCTCAAGGGACACCAGCTTTGTTTTGGGACAAGATTACTGCATGCAGACAGTGGTCAAGGTCTCAACTGTTGCCTGACCACAAACAATCCCCAAACGCTTTTGATTCCTCCACCGCCATGACTGTGAGGCATGGAAAATGGAATACTTCAGAAGTGTTATAGAGGGGAAGGTCAGTGGTGAAAGGTCACTTTTTCTAGAAGTTAATATCAAGTACTCAGAATCTTCAATCACACGACATCATTGAAGGTTTGCTGTAATATTATAAAGTAGATGCTATTATTCAAATACATGGAGGACTTAATTATTTAATTGCTAAATTGCTTCAAAGATATCCATCTAGTTGAGGTCTGACTGGAGCTTTAATTTCAATTCTTCAACCCCTTGTTTTTTTTCTAACACATTTATGTTTATAAATATTTAAGCAAAAATATTGGGAAAGGAGGCCACTCAATCATTTAGAAAAGGGTAATCTTTTCATTGGTAGTTTTCTTCTCTCTCTCTCTCTCTCTCTCTCTCTCTCTCTCTCTCTCTCTCTCTCTCGCGGATGTCAGAGAGGAGAACAATTGTGTGAACAAACGTCAGATCTAAATAATCACCAAATACAGGCATAGAAGGGAAGAGGGTGGAATGTCTATTTGAGGAAGAACAAAACCGCATCAACCAGCTCGACTGTGAAGGCTGCTGAAGAGACGGTTTCTGTATCATGCCATATGTTACAGAAAACCGCTTTAATTTTCCTTTAAGATTTCTGAGAATTTCAAAAAGAAGAAAAGAACATAAACATCTAGTATAATAATTAAAAGAGAATTTAAACATATAATATTTGTTTTTGTCCCAATTTATTTGAACAAAGTTAGCATCCTTTTAATATATCTGTCTCATCAAAATAAAAAGCCAGTATCAGCAGTATCCACTGTAGATTTTTTGGCTTATTAATGTTGAATTATCTTCTATTCTTTGAACTGAGGCATTTAATAAAATGTTAAGCAGAATTTTCTGTGGAACTCTCTTTTTAGAATATTCATTTACACTTTTAAACAAGATGTTTTTATGTGCTTGGGAAGGCTTCAATATTCTCTCAAGAATAACCCATTATTATTATTATTATTATTATTATGATATAGCAGATATGAAACAAAGTTCATGGGCTAAAATCATGCTCTCAGGCTTGCATAAATCAAAGAAATAAATGTAAACCATTAGGTTGTTTTCTATTTAAGAAAACAAATTACTGTAACTTATCACAGTTCAGTGAAAGTTTCAAGATGTTATAAAGTTAAAAATGGGCACAGGCAAACTAAACCTTTCATTTCTTGCAAACATATTTTATTTAGGAATGTTAAAAATGTCTATGATGTCCGGGTATAATAACACACACCAGCAACCAAGTGCTTGTGATGCTGAGGCAGGAAGATAATGAGATTTAGGATAGCCCATGTCATAGATAGAGATGTTTCCTCAACACACACACACACACACACACACACTGTGTATGTAGGTGAATAAATAGACTAATAACTATTAACAAATTAGAAAATTGAAAACTTTGTTCTGAAATCCCTACACTTTATAGTACCCAAACCATCCAAATCAAAATGCTGGGTACCTAACAGTTTTCTAAATTCTTCCTCAAGAAAATTTTATCATGTATTGGTAACAATAGAAAATGTTTCCACAACAGTTAAAGTAGAAAAATAAATCTATATAAATAAACAACAAGTTAAGTCTGATGAGATGTCTCAGTAATTAAGAGCACTGGCTGCTTTTCCGGAAGATTGGGGTTCAATTCCCACTGGCACCCTATTACTGTCTGTAACTCAGTTACTAGGGGATATGATGTTCTCATACATACATACATTCAGACAAAACAACAATGCACATAAAGTAAAAATAAATATTATTAAAAATAAATAAGCAAGCAAGCAAGCAAACAAACAAGAGAACAGATTCAAGCATTCATTATCATCTACTCTTTGTAGAAATTATATAGCATTCTGGCTTAATTCCTTTTGGCTTAATATTGCCATATATGTACATGGAACACACACACACACATAACATGAATTTACACATTTTAAAATAAAAAAACACACACTAAATGGCCAACTTTCAAAGTATGTAATTATTTTAAACCATAGCAATTCAAAACATTTCATTCACATATAAACCAGACACCTATGTTTGCCAAATATCGCAAGGCAATTAGACCATCACTTAATCCCTTCCAGTTATGTATCTGCTAAGATATACGTAAATAATTGTCCTAAACCTCCATTTACATGTTTTAAAAATGGCAAATTTCTTGTTATATTTAAAATACTAAAATAATTGAATAAAAAAGCACTTTTCAGAGCACAGTCTGGATGTGGATGAGTTTCATATCATAAAAAATTATTTTTGCTAAGTGGGTTTCTTCAAGCTTTGAAGTAAAGCCCATCAGCATCCTGATGGAGTATCACATGGTTCCCCAGTGAATAATATGGAAGCACTCTCATTTGCAGACACATTGGGGAGGCAAAACTCCAGTGCAGAGAGCAAGTGTTAAAACAAACACAAGCACGAACAGAAAAAAGATGAAGACACACATAAAACAAGCCACCATGTATGCACACACACACACACAGTAAGAGGGGGACATGCATACTCTGAAGCACATATGATGCTGATAGACACACATGCTGAGCTACATACACACACTGAGACACATACACACTAAGATACAAATGGAGACACATAGAGACATACAGAGATAGAGATATACACAGAGACACAGATATAGACACACACACATACATTCACAGAGATACAGATTAATACATTAATACACACACATACAGATACATACACACATACAAAGATACATCCTCACAATAAGAAACACACACTGAGACATATACATGGAGATACACAAAGACACACATACTGGGACACACATACAAAGTCACATACACTGAGATATATACTGAGATACCATATCTACACACACATGAAGACACAAAACCTAACACTAATGTAATGGAATAATTTACTGGTTAAATTTTAAAGAAGAAAAAATAACTACCTTTTGAATAATAAGTAACTTGTAAGTGGCCCAGAAATGAAGTAGTAAAACCTTGTGACTGTTTACTCTAAATTTTGCATACTTTCCCTTTGTTCCTTCATCCCCTCTATCCTGAAATCAAACACCCTTAATGATTCTATCATTGTCTGGAGACAAATAACTGAGCTGTGTCTCCTTGAACGCATGGTCACCAGACCTGTAAGTTCTTTTAAATTGTGTGCTTCAGTTAACTAATGATTTGCCTTGAGTTCATTCCAATAATGTTTTGAGATTATAATTACTCAATTTCTTCCTTTCCTCTCCTCCCTCCAAACCCTTCTATATATACTTTCCTTTCTCTCTTTCAAATTCTTGGCCTCTTGTCTCATTAATTCCCATTGGATGAATATGTGTATTTGTATATACATATATATTCCTAAGCACAACATGCTCAATATGCATAATATTACTTCTATGTATATCTTATAAGCCATTTTTAATGTGCACAACAATACTAACAGGCCATTCAGGCTTCCTGGAAGATAACAGCCCTGGGACCTTGGTAGGATGTCTCATTGAGTCTCTGTCTTAGGACATTCTTCAAATTAATCATACAGCTAAAGAATCTTGCTTCGTGTGTGTCTTTAGAAGATTCCTTTTATAATGGACCATGATGTCATGAGGGTCTGAGAGTAGGGCAAAGCTGCAGAGTTTTCACCAACTGTATTTTTCCTATTATTTCTTTTATTTTTGAAATTGTATTTTATCTTTGCTCAAGATTGCAGCAAAGACCTTACTTCACAAAGATAAGTTTCAACCGGTTTAACTTGCCTTCACCTACTTAGTGAAATGTTACCACTATGCTCTTGTTTTAGATAAAAATAAGACAAGTTTTCAGATAAGGAAAAATTACTACCATTAAAAATTCAAGAAACTGATTATATATCAAAAAGCAGTGAATTGTATTATGTAGAACATGCATATTTAATGAGAATGAAGGATGCTCTCTACTGTATTTTACTTTTATTTTCAGTGTTCTTATAAAATGGATATTCTTAAGATTCAAATAAGGAGAGATCTAATTTATCTAATACATTAATATTTGTTTGGTCATAATGATGATATTAAAGTATGTAGGATTGTAGGATAATATTGTCTATAATTATGTAGACCAGTCTGTTGCATACACACAAATAGGTAAAATAAGAATTTCACTTAGTATCAAAATATTCAGAATGAAACAACTAGGAACTGTGAACTGTTACTTTTACAAGAGAAAGAAAACTATTGAAATTACAAGCAAAGTGAGAACAACTGTAAACACTGAGGGCCACTGAGATGGCCCAGTGAATACAAGCCCTTCTTGTACAATCCTGAGAGGCCAAGTGTGATTCTGGGATCCCAAGGTGCAAAGAGGCAACGGACTCTCCAAATTTGTCCTCTGGCCTTCACATACAAATTGTGGCATATGAATGCCCGTGCTCTGGTAAACACACACACACACACAAATGCTAAATTAATAAGATGAAAAGCTTGGTATTATAAACTATTATCTCTAAGCTTTCCTTCAGCATGGGAACATCCATTTTTAATTAAATAACACCTAATTTATATTGAAATATTTTAAGATAACTATGCCAAGTAGTAGAACTTAATCATGTATCTGTTACTAAAAATAGAATTTGAGACTTCATAGAATCACATGATTGCATAATGATTTTTATTCTTCCTTACAGGCAATACATTCAGTTAATTGATGAACATACAGGTATAGCCATGTGTGCAATATTCACAAGAAGAATACAGAGATAAATACTGTCTTAGTGCAGAATGTGAACACTGAATCAGCATCAGCCATCCTAGCTAAATAAATTACAAATGAAAACAAGAGCTCTATTCTACAATAACATGAAGATTTATGAATAAACAGCTAGTCTTCTGAAAATATAAACTGTAAAAGATTCAGTGTTAAGTACTCTGTCCTTGGATATTCATAAATTCTTCCATGGGTATGGCCTATAAATGTCTTCATATTTTTAAAAACTACTTTAAGTGTTGTAATATACAGAAGAATCTCACATTTATCTATAGTGTGTACTAGAAAAAAAACTTTAAAGTTATACCAGTTCTTGACAAGGGAATTGTATTATTAATGCAGATTACATTCCTGTCCCCACCCTAATTCCTTCTAAGTTCAGTCAGTGAAAATGAGAGGTTTTTTTCCATTTCTTTATATGAATAGCAAGCATATGATGCTTACATTAAGTAGAATTTTGCTACCCAAGTGACAAACAGCAAATCCCATGGTCAAAACCTGTGGCATCATCTGGAAGCTTGTTAGAAAGGGATGGCCCCACCCTAACTGTCATCATAGAACCATCATCCAGAAATGGGTGGAAGAAGATGCAGAGATCCACAACCAAGCACTGGGCTGAGCCCAGTCACAGAAAAGAAGGAAGGATTATGTGCAGACTCCCCATGGGAAGTCTTACCCTTTCTGAGGAGTGGATGGATGGTTGGGTTGGTGGGTAAGTGGGGAGAGTGAGAGAAGGGGGAGGGAGGGGAGAACTGTGGTTACCATGCAAATGAAATAAAGACTTTTAAAGAAAAAATTTTAAAAACAGAAAGGTATGGTTCCCCACTCTGTCTTAGACATCCCGGATAAGAACCTGTATTTGTAATAAGTGACCGACCAGGTGACAGCATCTCACACCAACTTTGAGAAGCATTGATTTCATATGATCAATGATTTTTCTTTTTTTTCTTTCTTTTTTTAATTTATTTATTTCTTTACTAATTAATTAAAGTTTTCTGTCTCTTCCCCACCGCCGCCTCCCCTTTCCCTCCCCCTCCCCCAATCAAATCCCCCTTCCTCGTCAGCCCAAAGAGCATTCAGGGTTCCCTGCCCTGTGGGAAGTCCAAGGACCACCCACCTCCATCCAGGTCTAGTAAGGTGAGCATCCAAACTGCCTAGGCTCCCACAAAACCAATGGGTGCAGTAGGATCAAAAACCCATTGCCATTGTTCTTGGGGTCTCAGTAGTCCTCATTGTCCACTATGTTCAGCGAGACTGGTTTTAACCCAGGCTTTTCTATAAAGTAAAAACATCTAGGTAGCTGGTACATCAAGGTACCACTTGATAACTTAGATATATTCTAGGAAATGTGTCATTGGGTGATTTCATCTTTGTGTGAACATAGAAAAAAAATCACCTAAATGGTACAAGACAATCCCTTCATGTGTGTGTGGTGGGGGAGGCTCTCTTGATGCCATCGAGAGTGGGTAACAAGATGTTTGAGCTTGTGACTAGAGTCATGTGGTCTATAGATTCACAGAAAACTTTAAAACACAAATATAGCAGGTATACTATAATGACTTTAAAAGCATAAACTACAGTTTACACACAAATCAGTAACACCTATAGGCTTTACATATTCCAACTTTTTTTGCCAAAAGTTTTGTCACGGAGCCTTACAGTAAATGACAGTTCCAATGCTTGTGGCTTACTTGCCTCCACTTCACATTATTGCTTATTAAATACATAAAGTCTCTAAATTTGTTCACTTTGGTGTTGATTCTCCATGATCATGAAGGAACGCAGAGACAGCAGTTTCTACATTTTGCATTGTAGCATTATCTTACTACAACTCCTAAAGAAACAGCAGAGTTTCCAAATCTCAGCCATAGTGGTGTGCAGACTACAACTACCTCCAGAATGAAAAGGTTGTTCACAAGTTCAGTAGAGACTTTTATTTCAAACAACAGCACAACAGACACAGTGACGCAACAGGACCATAATCTCTAATGCTGATAAGGTTTCTTGACAGGCTGACTTACAGGGCACCTGTATTACTTCTATCCAGAGCTATTTTAAGTATTACCTTAAATAACACCATAAAACAAAAATCCTATATATACCAATTGCAAACATAATGTGCTTTACTACTGCTTTCTTTTGATTCCAACATCATCATTTAAAGTTCCTCAAAATCATGTCCACTTGTGTTCATGGTTTCAGGGTGCATGACTCGTCCCATGAATAAGATGGTACCTGCATTGGAAATGAATGAAAGATGAGAGTGAAAAAAAACATAAGATACATGTTTCCTGCCGGCTTACAACTAGCAATGTTTGAAAAGTAAAAAATATATATGTATATGTATATATAAAAATATATATGTATATAATATATATACATACATTATTTTGATTTTTAAAATAATAAGAACATTGCAATCAATCTTAAATATATATCATTTAAAACAGAAAGCTTCTTTGTGTCTTATGAAATAATATATTCACATAACACACTCACCAACTTTCCTGTTCCTGATGAGAAATAAAAACGGGTGGTCGACAATAACCTGCGGGTACAGCACAGCCATCCTGCTAATTGCAATCATTCCTATGGCACAGAGAGAAAGTCATTACATGTCTGGATGTGCAGAGACTCAGGACTCACGAGAATTTTTCAAAACAATCTATGTCTATTCATTTAATGAAAAGTAATAATTTACAGAAAACCTGGGGTTGAAAACAGAAATGTTTTAAAGGTGTTAGTATTTATAGTCAATATTTTAAAGAAAACAAACAACCACAACACATATACAAGTTATTTCTTCCGTCTAAACCATCAAAAATATTAGGCTGAATCACTCGGCCTGTTGTAATAATATTTTCCTTAGTCTAAGGCAAATATTAGTAGTGTTTTAATCGGTTAAGAGAAGGGATAAAAGGAAGAAAGAATTGTCAAAGTGAATGGAGTTTTTCATACTTTCAAGTTCTTTCTGATACTTCGCAGTTCTGTGGGGCTCCAGAATGACCAGGGTGGAATGAAACGAAAACCCAGCACTGAGCAGAGTGTTCAGTTCCCCGAGTCCTTATTTGCTACAGCCTGCTTAGCTATCTGGAGATTTTAATCAGCTTTGATAACCTAAGACTGTTTCCTTTCTCTCCTGAAAGTCCTGTTATCACTGATGAGGTCCGAAGCAATACATATCAGTAAGCTAATATATTACCAGGTAGCAGAAAGTTTATTAAATTTGATCTTATCTGCTCAACATGCAATGGAAGCAAACCTAAGGTAGCAAGAGGATGGAGGAAATGCAATGGTAAAGTCATTCTTGGTTATCTAGGGTAATCACAACCCTCAAAATGACCCAGGGTGGGACTGGGGAGAAGGTTCTGTCAGCAACGTTCCTGCCCCACATCCATGAAGACCTGAGCTCAGATCCTTTGTGTCTGTGTGAAAACTCAGGCGTAGCAGACTGGGCTACACTTTAATGACAGTGCTGAGGGAGAAGAATGGCTCTCTGAGGCTTGTTGGTCAGTTAGTCTAACCGAATTAATAAGCTCCAGATTCAGGGACAAAAATTCTCAAGAAAATAAGATGGAGAATTATTGAGAGAGACACCTGGTGGATACCTCTGCTTTCCAAACACCCCATACAACTGCACATGCTTACATGGGTGCACACATGAACATGTGTTCATCATACACAAAGAGGATGAAGGACCATTAGCTGTTACAACCTGGAAATGGAATATATGCTCCTTTAAAAATCTGCTTATTTAAAATTACTGTCTTATGCCTATTATTATTTAAAAGTACTTAAAAGCATTTTTATGTCTACCAACTCTTGTTTGTGTACGTAATTTGTCAAAGCCAACTTTCCACCGGCAAAAATTAATTTCTAACTTCCAGTAGTAATCAGGAAGGAAAAATGTTTGAATAAACAGTAGCAACTCCTGAAAATATTTATGGAAACAGCGCAGCAGGGGGTCATCTCCTGAGAGCTGCCAGCATGTGACTCCCCTCTGGGAAGCTAGGCATGGACCGATGACAGACACCCTTCACATTCTGTTGAAAATGTTCTGACCGCTCCAGCTTTTCCTTGACTTCTCATTTGGAATAGAGTGAGGTCTTGAGTACGGTTTCAGGAAGGGATCTCCATTCCCACCCAGGATTGTTTAAAAACAGAAATTCGGAAGAAGAGTTCAGAAAATGACTTAGTGTGTACCGGAGGCTGCAGCTGCTTCTGACCCTTCTTCGTTAACCTCTATGAAGGACTTGTGAACAACTTTGGAGAGAAACAGCTCTTTCCTATCTGAAAGGAAGAAACGAGATCATTAACGCCAGACACAGCGACACATTTGACCCCTTGGGAAAGTGAGTTTGAGAGCACTGAGAAACCAAGAGACTGATTAAAAAAGAAAATATATTGCTGGATTTTACTTAAGGCATGAGAGAACCAGTGACTGTATGGTTTCAAATTCGTTTCATAATCACTTGTTAAGTTACCCCTATTTTCCTTCAGTAATTTCCCACTGTGCATTTCTTCTCTTCCCATTGCTTAGTTCTTATATTGCTCAGAGGTAGGGGAGCAGAAAATTTGTTTTCAATAGTGACCTCAAATGATTTCATCATTCAAGTTAAAAATACATTACCCATTGTCCTCTAATTTGAAATAAAAAGTACATAATGAAAAATGAAGATCCAGAAAAAAAATATTCTTTCCTTAAACCCAATCAATATTGTTTAATAATATAGATGATATTGGCATGGTAAAATAAATAAAAGACTTCTTGCCTGGAGAAATGTAAGAAAACAAAAACGTATAAAATGGCATTCTAGTCTGGTTTAGTGGCTGATCTGAGTGCTTGCAAATACATCACTCCAAGATCATATTAAAAAATACCTTTCTAGTAAAAGGAAGAACATTTTCTGCACTGACTTGACTTTCAGTTTACTTTGATATTAATGCAATTTGGGGCAGATTTATGATCCCTAAACATTCATTTGCTCAGGTCCTAACCCCCAGGACTTCGGTACGTGACTGTATTGAGAACCAGGGTCTTACAATGAAGCCACTGTAGAGGATTCTGACCAAACATGACTGGTCTCCACTCAAGAGGAATTTGAGCTGAAACGGCTACAGAGAAAAGCAGAGATGAGGTATTTAGTTTCGGGTGTCGATTTGCTCAAGCTTTGCTACTTAGACCCTTAAACAAACATTCTGGAAGTTTCTCTGAGCATGTTTTCGGATGAGATTAACTTTTAAATGAGTGGGTTTTGAATAAGCAGATTGCTTTCCCAGGGTGGGTGGGCCTCATCCAGTCAGCTACAAAAGCTGTATTAGAAGGAAGACATTCCTTTTTGCAAGGAAGAATTCAGTCAGCAGATTTCTTTGGACTCAGCTATGACTCTTTCTTGTGTGTCTGCTTTGTAGATTTTTCATTTCCAGAGCTTTCACAGTATGTAAGCCAATTCCTAAAAATAAATCTATCTATCTATCATCATTCTTAGACCCATCCTTATGTATGCATTAAACACCTAGAAACAGGAAAAACATGTCCCCCTTTTATATGGCCTCTCTCGAAGGGTGGGAGGGATGGGGAAAGGCGAATCATGGACAGCACCTTACAGTAAAGTAGGAGTGAAAACTTATGGCTGTTGTTAACTGCAGTGCTAACATGCTGTGTATTTTTTTATTGATTTTTATTGAGCTCTACATTTTTTCTACTCCCCTCCCTGCCTCTCCTTTCTCCCTCCAACCCTCCCCCAAGGTCCTCATGCTCCCAATTTACTCAGGAGATCTTGTCTTTTGGGGAAGTAGAAAAAAAAAACATGCTGTGTATTTCAAAAGACTATACTAAAACATTTCTAAATTTTTACTGTAAGTTAATAAATATTTAAAGAGATATATGTATGTAGCCTGATTTAAATTAGTCAAGGGCCACCCGTACGGCCCAGAGGCTAGAGTGATTTCCAGTGTAAGCCTTGTGTATACCTTCTGGATCTCACAGAAAGATGAAAGAAGAAAAGCAGCCCCACAAATTTGCTCCACCATGGCACAGGCAACCACACACATATGAGCACAAATAACAAATAAAATTAGTTTTAAAATATGTTAGGGTTGGGATGCTGACTCTGTAGGTAAAGATGCTTGTTTCCCAAGTCGAACAACCTAAAGTCAATCCCCCGGATGCACATGGTGGACGGAGAGAATTGACTCATAGGTTGTTCGCTAACTTTCTCATATGTGCTGTGACGTGTGCATGGCCCTCCCTCCAAATAAATAGGTGAGTGTAGTTTACATTTTAAAGTAATATACAACATATATGTGTACTTGAAATATTGCATGGTACAGCATTAAAATGCAATCTTTCTATTATTTATGACAGCTGAAAATAAAATTTCAAATCAAACCCATTGATACACACAAAGAAATGTTTACTAAGTGGCAGTGGCTATCACCATAAGTCAGAGCAAGGTGATGGAGAGGAAGTACTGCCTACACTTCCACAGGATGAACCCATGTGGATGCAAACCAACTTATACCAGGACTCTGCTGAACACTCCTCCTCCCCTCTATCCCAAAGCCTGTCACCCCACCTTCAGGGTATTTCATACGTGTGTAAGTTCTAGCACCTCCACGAGGCAGCCTCTCCCCCATTCATTCCACACTCTCTATCCTGCATGCCGTTATTCTTGTGATTTGAGTCAAAAACGCTCATTCTTCCCTTGATCCTCCCTCGGCCTTTGTACTCCTAAGGCTCAGCTTCCACCTATGGAGACTTCTCTGGCTTTTCTCTTCCTGTATCTTTAAATTAGATCTGACCACTCTTTTTCCCATGGACCCAAAAGTTGATTCTATGAAGCCTTTCTACTGTATTACACCTACGTTAAATCTTTCTCCTCCTGGACGCTCACGTCCCTTAAGGCGATGGCTGTGCCTTTCATTCATTCATCTGCGTACTCCTAGCGGCTGGCATAGGGCTGGATCTGAAATATGAACCCCTGTAATGAGGGAACACACTGCTCGTGTGTTATTTTCCAGTATTGACCCAGCACACCATGCTACACAAGATTGGTGATTGTTTAATGAAAGATCTTAGCTCTTTCCTAATGTGCGATTGTGGGTGTGCCAACCTTGTGTAACAATGCATGGGCACCATGACCATGGTTCTGCTCACAATTATGCCTATAAGGTTTATTTTTATAATAAAATACAGGCTAATACTAAGCAATCATTCCAAGAAAAGAGCAATAAGAGGGAAAGAGTACAAAAGACTTAAAAATTGGATCAAGTTTAAAAATAATGGTAATAGTATCTGCTGGGCCAGTGTTACTGGCTATATTTTAAAGACAGCAAAGGAAAAATTGACTCTGCTGTTTATGAAGCCACCGTATGACTAATTGCCACCCAATGGTTAATTCAGTGTCTGCAAAAGTAAAAAGAACCCAGACACTTGATCTGCACACACAAAATATATATATATATTAATATAGATGTACATGTGGGAAGAATTGTGTGCTATATTTTCCCCTTGGGATAAACTTGAAACAATTGCATTATAATAAAATATAACTGAGAGTGACTTGAGCAAGCATGTGTCAGTGGCAACAAACATTTAAAAATAGATCAAGAATTGTGGGGACACAAGCGAGTTCACGTTCATGGCTCCTTACACTTTGACTTTATCCTGTGCTGTTGTATGTTAATCAGACGCCCTCTGTCCTGTGTTCATGTGACTGCAGATGTTTATATGGCTGGACATGTGTGAACATGGATGCCAGGGGTCACCCTTTGCTATCCTCCCTCAGCAACCATAAGCCTTGTTTTATGAGACACGGTCTTTCAGTGGCCAGGAGCTCACTAATTAGCCCAGACTGGCTGGCCAGAGAGCTGCAGGGATCTGCCTGTACCCCACCTGCCTCAGCACTGCCAGCCTGGCTTTTTAATGTGCCTTCTGGGGATTGAACTTGGTGCTTGCATGTCAAGACATGTGACTCCTTAGTCTACAAATGTTGCTTGCCTGCCTTTCTTCCTTCCTTCCTTCCTTCCTTCCTTCCTTCCTTCCTTCCTTCCTTCCTTCGTTCCTTCCTTCGTTCCTTCCTTCCTTCCTTCCTTCCTTCCTCTCTCCCTCCCTCCCTTTCTCCTTCCCTCCCTTCCTTCTTTCCTTTCTTTCTTTTCAAATGTGTTTTCTTTGTTGGTTTTCTTGCTTGTTTTGTGTTTTGTTTGTCCTTTTCCTCTGGCCACTGCAGGCACGGCTGTTCAGTGGTTGGCTCTACTTTCCTCCAGGCAGCCAGGACCCAGACTTTTAAAATGGCTAAGATGGGAACAAGCCAATAAACCTAGGCTATCCAGAGAGGAGCCGGGCAGAAAACCAAACTCTTGTGAAGAAAGCAAAGCAAAGTACTAAAGCATTCATTCAATAGCTGAGCAAATATTTATTGAGCGAGTGCTCCATTTAACTTACTGTGCAGTGCACAAAGGCTCTGAGCATCCGACAAACACATCGAGCTGGCAGCATGGTCATCGGGCCAGTATTGGCCTCTGTTTCCTTTGTGGCACTGCTTCTGAATGCAGCCAACTTAAATAGACTTCTGCATCACCAAGGGCAGGCTTAAAATGAAGAGATTATCATAGCAAAGCCCTACACACCAAAATGGCCTCTGTGTGGCCTTATTTTTAGCTTCAACCCCACCCGTAAAACTTATGAAGAATTTCCCAGAACCTGACTTCTTTCAGATTAGAACAGTGTTTCCAGGTGGATTTTGTTCCAGAAGCAGAAATTATTCACTTATTGATTTGTTCATTCATGCACTTAGTATCTACAGTAAACACTAGGCATACTATGGATGCTCAACCATCCCTTCCTTATAAAGGCTCATGGGCATACAGAAAACAGCAATGGTAAAGCAAATCCATAAACAGCCAGGATTTCCAGATATGTATATGTACCTGGGAAAACAAGATAAGACAGTATGTTGGTTGGTGATAGGACACCTTCTTGAGGACATCTACTTGGAACAGTGTTATGTAAGGGAAGATGGGAAAGTAAATGGGGGCTGATACCAAGTGAATATGAAGGAATGAGCTCAGGGAAGACCTGAAGGTGCAGGTAAAACCAAGTGCAAAGACAGAGTCAAACTGAGCATGTTTAGGGAGGAACCCAAAAAAGTCCCAGTGACTTGAGTATGGGAAGGAGAAAGGACTGAGGACAGAGAGAAGCATCCTCACAGAAACCCAGGCAACAGCCATTGCCATGCTCCCCGCACTTCTCACCCATCTTCCATCCCACACCAGCACCATGCTGAGTT